TGCTGGGCCGTGAGGGCTTTGCCGGGGCTGGAAGCGCACGGACCCGCGTGGATGAGGCCCGGGATCCGGGCCGGACCGCTGGCAGCTCCGAGCGGCGCCCGGTGACCCCGCGGGCAGGGACATGTTCGCGAAGCTGAAGAAGAAGATCGCGGAGGAGGCAGCGACCGCGCCCCGGGCCGGCCCCGCGCGGCTGCCGCGCTCGCTCAGCAGAGAGTCCGTCACCTCCGCGGGCGCGGACTCCGGGGATGACTTCGTGAGTTACACCTTCCCTTGGGTGTTGGTTGCTCTCAGGGTGTTCCTGTCACAGCTTTGCCGGCGGCCGCGCAGGGTGTAACGTGTGAGCTGAGCGGGTTGTGCTGCCTCGTGCATCTTCCCGCACGGATCAGTTGCTGTGTCAGGGCACAGGCTGGACTTGATCATCTTAAAGGTCTTTTCCAGTTGGTGGTGATTCTGTCAGTCTGTGATCAGTTTGAGTGAACTTAAATACTGAAAAGAAAATGTTTATATGTTAATAATATTAATTACTAGGGGGCTTATATTCCCATGTAACCACGAGTTACAAATCTAGCTCAGTACAGAATGTTATTAAACTGACATAAAATACCGAAGAGAACTATAAAAATGTGTCAGGTATCTTTTTGTGCAATTGGTTCCTGAGGCAGTAGGAGAGGAAACTGGCTGCTGGTTAATTATCACCTTGCTGGACCTGTGCTCACCCTTCCTGGTGCCCTCCCTGCATGACCTCACAGTTCGTGTGCCAGGCACTCAGCTCTGCACTCACAGCTCCTGCAGCTCCTCCAGTGCCTGCTCTAAAGTCTCTTTCCTTATAAACCATTGCTTGAGGAAGCTCTTATCACTCCAGGAGCCTGTGGGTGAAATGCAGCCCGGGGTGCCCTGGCCCCCTTGCCCCCCGTGGCCGCTGTGTGTGTCATACCCGGGCTGCAGCAGGTTGCTTGGCCACTGCTCTGCTGCCTGCAGCATGGACAAGTGCTTTATCCCCTTGAGTTTTAACTTGTTTTTTCTCAAGCTCAGCTGGAATTCCAGCTCTGTTAAGCAGAAAGTTTTACATTCTACAAGGGGAAGATGCTCGTCCTGTGCCTGAAATTCTCACACAAATTTCACTTAACATCTCGTGAGTTCAGGGAGCAGGAAACAGCTGCTGGCAGCTGAAGTCTTGAGTGGTTTTCAGAAAACCTCCAAGAAGTAGTTGTCTTAGCAATATTCATTTAACTGCTCTTAATGTTACTTTCTCTGGGGGGTTTTGCTCCATAAAATGACCAGTCCCTTGTGCTGTGGGCTTTGCGTGGAGCGACTGCTCCTTCCTGCTGCAGCTCAGTCCTGGAGGACCTTGCTCTTCCTTCTCTCCCAGCTTGGTTTTCCAAAAGGCTTTTGCTTTCACTCGTCCTGTGATCTGCACTGTGGAGCCTGTTTCCCCTTAGTCTCTCTTATGCTGTTTTATGCTGTCCCCTCAGATAGCAGCTTGAACAAAGAGGTTTCAGCTACAGCTGCTTTTAAAAGTGCTGTGCCCAGGGCTCAGGCCATGGCTGAGCTCTGACTATTTCAGCTCTGACTGTTTGACTTCTGAATCTTTCTCCTCTTCAGCATTTTTTGCACATTCTGCTACATTAGTGCAGCATTCCCCTTTATGGGGAAACCTGAAGCATTATTCCTGGGTGGGATAGTGTTTATTATCATAGAGTTTGTGTGTGGCATGATTGCTTTTTTTTGTATTTTGTGAGTTACATGAGTGTTTTTCCACCAAGGCTTCAGATGGGAGCAGCTCTAGGGAGGATCTTTCATCCCAGTTGTTCAGACGAAATGAACAAGTGAGGAAACTGGAGGTCAAGCTGTCTGGTATGTGTCTTGAGACATTAAATCCTGTTGCTTTAGGAAATACTCTCCTTTGAACTTAGATATTTTAATTGATTTTCATGTTTCATGAGACCTCTCCCAAACCATCTGAAACAGATCACTGTTCTTGAATGCACTAAAAAGTGGGGATAGTTCTTAGTTCTCAGATGCTGCCCTGTTTGTGTAATTAGCTCACCCAGGACAGGTACTCCTGTTTGTACCAGCCCTTTACCCTGTGAACTGTACAGAACTATTTGCTTGTCTTCATTCTTATGGTCACC